GCTGGGGGGCTCTGCCCCTGCCTGCCACTCCCCCAGGGCAAGCCAAGTGCCGGGTGAGGCTGTAGCACGAAGTGCCCCCTCGCCAGCTACGCTCTGGTTCCTGGAGGACGGCTGCCAACTGCCTCCCCTTCTGCGCGGCTCCTCCCACCCCTGGCTGGGGCAGAGTGCGCCGGGGAGCCCAGGAAAGGAGGGTTCCTGCAACGACTCCCCACGCAGCACCGCGTGTCTGTGCTGCCCTTCGGAGCAATGGCTCCGGCTGGGGGGGGGTAGGATGGGGAGGTGGTACGAAGGAGGTAATGGCTGCTGGCTGCCTTTGCCAAAAGTCACAGGCTGCGTCTCCTTTCCAATGCCCAGCTGGCCCAGGCTGAGCATGGCACCAAGCCCCGGGGAAGGTTCCGGCGTGGCTGGAGCCGTCTGCTGGGTCACTTCCCGGCCCTGGGTAGCCTAAGGGGGGCGGGAGGATGAGATTCCCGGGCTCTGGTTCGTGTGTCACTGCATCCGGCTCCTGAGCTCCTCAACAGCTGCACTTTGTGTGCGCCGCACGGAGGCCTATGGCTCAGGGCTAGGGAAAGGCTCTAATCCAGGTGGGCAATCGTTTGTGATGGGGGGCTACTTGAGATTTGGTAAGTGGCCAAGGACTGCACTGTATGAAGGGCTGTACTGTCCGGGATGGAGGTGGGTGCAGAAGGGAGCTCGGGTAGGGGTTGCAGTGCAGGGGGGGGGTCTGAGAGGGAGTTTGGGTGAAGGAGGGGGTTGTGACCTGGGAGAAGGAGGTGCGGAGGGTTTGGATGGTGGCCTGGGGGAGGGAGTTGGGGGAAGGGAGGTGGGGGAGATGGCAGAGGCAGGCTCTGGCCAGGAGGCTCTTTAGGCACCTCCCAGCCAGCAACCCTGCAGGACCTTGCGGCAGGATCCCTGCCTGCTGCAGTTGCAGGCTGCTGAGAATGGCTGGCTGCTCCCTGGGGCCGTCTGCTCTTGGGACTGGGGGTGAGGAAGGCTTTGCACGCTGCCCTGCCACCCAGCAAAATCTCTCAACTCCCATTGGCTGCTTCCCCCCAGCAGACAGTGTGGAGCCTGGCGCTTCTCTTAAGCGGGTGGCTGCTCTGTGCCTGAGGGTGCCGGCAGGGTGGCCAGCAGGTTGGATAGCTGGCCTGCCTCTGGTCTAATCCCTTCCATAGCTGCAAACCTCAGTGCATCCTTAGACACGGATTTTCCGCCATGCGCTGTCACATGGGACTGTCGGGGGCTCGCGAGAGGATTGGGGGGCATTTTCCCCCCACACCCGTTTTCAGGCAATTATAGAGTTTTCTGCAAACAAGTCTCGTTTGGGCAGCCTTTGGAGGAAGCATCAGACTCTCCCTCAACCTGGCCTCCATGTGGGCTTTGAAGTTGGAGGAGATGTAGTATAGAGATAACACGGTTAAAACATTTTTCCCAATTCATTTTAACATGAAAGTTGAGCTCCCCTCAAAGTCACAAGATTCAGGCGAAACAGGCAGGCCAAGAACAAACCCTGCGACCCGTCAGTGCTCACCAGAGGACTTTTCCAGAGAAGAAATCCTTGTCAGTCCTGTCTCACTGGGAACCCCCGTCGCCAGGGTACGCTCTGGACGCGCTCAGTTCTGGTGCCAGGGCTGTGCGTATCTCGTGAAGCTGTAGGATCGCTAGCTGTCTCCTACAAAGGGTATTAAGGAGAAATGGCCCCAAACCCCCCAAAACCCTGAAGCATAAAATTCTGTCAGGCATGTGACACGTGCCAGATTTTCCTTTTCTGTGAGGGGTCCTACCACACTCCCTCCCACTCCATGGCAGAAGGGGAGGGGCCCAGGAGCCACTCTAGCTATAGGTAGACTAAGCAGCTGCCTTGGGCCACAGATGTGGCTCCCCCGCCCCTCTGCCATGACAAAGGGCGGTGAGCCCGGTGCCAGGCCCAGCGCCACTCACTCACATCTGGCTCAGCTGCCCTAGCACGGGCGGGGGCGGGGGCAGCACCGCAAGCTTGCCTCGCCCACCAGAGCCTGAGGGGCCGTTGTCTGCCCCTCTGGATCGGCCGCTATCAGCTCATGCAAGAAGCTGACTGGCTCCCAGCCCCGTGGTCCTGAGGGAGATTGGCTGGCCTGGACTTGGGGCCAAGGGCCCACTGAGGGCAACGGGCCGGCTCTCCGTGACTTTCGTCAGTGCTGGATCTAGCTCCTCATGAGAGCCGGCTGAACCCCGGCTCTGCCTGCCAAGGCTCTCGGAGCCCCCCAGGGTGTGTGGATGGCGGGGCGGGTCCGGACACTGCAGAGCTCACACAGAGCTGCCCACTGAGTTTGCTTCCCAGTTGTCTCCCCTTGACAGCTCTTTTTTGCAATCTCCCTGCAGAAACACTCATGGACTCCACCACGGCGACGGCCGAGCTGGGCTGGACAGTGCATCCTCCCTCTGGGGTGAGTTCTCCGTTCTCCTTGGGACGTGGGCCCTTCCTCCACGGGGCTCCAGGGAGCAGGGGCTAGGGGGCAGTGGGCCGATGGGCAGCACTAGGTGTTACTGTTCAATAAGAG